GGCATTTCTCAGATCAGATCAGGACATGCTTGCATCAGCTCTTTGCAATGAAAAACACCAAAACATACTTTAAAACAAAACATTTAAATAATCTTTTAGAAGCTGAGAACTTCATATTAATGACGAACTGATCAGATATGTTATGCTTAATATAACTTTCACATCATGTAACACCCTGTAAATACCACCTACTCAATTTATAGCTAGTTTGTCGTAATCACTGCACAAATTAATCAATTTCAATGAAACATAAGATGTTGCAAACATTACTGGTGATAAATGTCCGTATTTTCCACTAGATAGACGTATTAAAGGCCGGCATGATTCAACGGATCACGCTCAAATTAAACTGGAAAATCCCTGCCGTTAATATAAACAAACGCACGCGGAAATCATGAATTAGGGTTAGCTTGTCTATGGACACTAACTGACAAGGCCCTAATTAAGTACATCATTAATAAAGATTAGCCAGCGCTAGCTGCTGGTATTATCTATTCAAAATAAACAAACTGTACCTATCTGTTTACCAGTTTGAGTTCAATTACAATAACTTGGGAAAAACATTTGCAAGATGCCAGTTAGTTTCGGCTTAGTTTCAGTTTTTGCAGAAAAACTGTTGGTTTCTGAGAAATCTTAATGGTTATTAACAAGATACAGAAGGACAACGACCAGTTTCTGTTCACATAAGCCAAAACTGCTCAAATACGGGGCGATGTTTTAGGAAGACTGATTATGCTTCAGTTATGCTTTATTTCTACAAATGTGCTATTAAGTTCATAATCCTTTGACTTTGCAGATATCAAGTCCATCAGGCAAATCGTTCGGTTATTTTATAAAGTGAAGTTACTTTCTCATAATGCTCACGTACGAGTACGCTCCTTTTAAAATCTGAAAACAATAAAAAATTAGTGTATTTACATGAGATAAGGACAAACAGAACACCGATATAGAAAATTGTATCAGTAAAATTTACGGAAAAAGAACGAAATTAAGCAACAAGATTAACTAAATAAACTAGTTAAAAATAGTAGAACATTTTCAAAGCTCAAGCTTCAAACAGAACAAAAGTTGTTTCAAATTCTTTTGAGCAATCAAATATTTTTAAATTTAGAGTGATATACTGCGTTTCGAAAAAAATGGAGAAAACGTTCTAATACGTGAACAATTCAATGAAAAATAAATTAAGGAAGCACATTTTGTAAATACATATGCCAAAAGCTCTATATAATTTGAAAAATTCTTTCGCTTACTTTTGAGCAAAAATTTAAATTTTTAACTAATATTTGGAACGACTGAAAGTCTATTATTATGAGCACACTAAAAATTACTAAAAATTATTGAAGATAATTATAAAAATTCGGAAGCAAAATAGTATGAGAAAAGTTTTTACGTCAGTTTTTGTCAGGTTTGCTTAGAATTTAAATGTTTTGAGTAACGTTTTCAGTAAAATTTCTAAAACTTAAAAAAAATTTCATTAGGAAAGCAAGACATTAAAACTAAATTGCTCAACAATAATTTTAACACATATGTGCTACACAAAAGTATAATGTACTTTAACTAGCTGCAACGTGATTATAATCTACATTTGGAACGATATTTGTATTTCTTCTTGTGGAGGATTTATGTGTTTTACTTTGAAATGCGAAACCGCCCCTTATTTTATTAAAATCAATATCTAATATAATCAAAGAAGACAATCAAACGCATTAATAACAAAATAAGTAACGGAATGAAATAAATAAATGTGTTTACAAGAATATTAAATTGTGTATAATGTATAAAACTGCGTCGGAAGATTTAAAACGAAGTTAACCAAATAAGTAACACACGTAAATGTGCAAACCAAACCAAATAGAAGGTCCCATATTTAATTGCCTATTATTTAGAAATTGAACACATTAAATAAACTTGTGAAAAGATCAACACAAGAACAAAACAGCTTAAATGTTAGAAAAGCTGTTACGTTACTTAAATCTTCCTTTTGAAGAAAAAATCACTAATTGTTAAAGCAGCAAGATCTTGAATAATTCATGAAACTTATATATAAATTATTTAATAAATTTAAGACAAAATAGTTGCACGTACTGAATATAATAGATAATTTTGATTGTTTTTGTTTATTTTTATTGGGAAATTTACTACTGTCTCATGCTGATAAAATAAGCTGCTACATTATCTCGTAAAAATTATAAAGAAAACAACTGTGGGCATTAAAACAAAGCAAAGAATGGAACATTTGGAGAGAAATTAATGCAAAGTGAACAAAACTAAAAAAAAAACCGATTCAGCTAAGGATTTAAAAAAATTACGAGAAAACAACTGCTTCAAAAATATTACTGCTTACTGCTAGCACAGAGTTCGTGGTCATTGCTCCAAATGGCCCAATCGTCATGATCAAAGGCTTCTGAGCTCTAGCCATCATAATTTGCATCATTTTCTGACCCTTAGGATTCAGCAAATACCAGTTACTTGCGTAAAGAGCATTGGCTAGTTCCTCACTCTAAAAGTTTTTATATGTAAATCCAGCTCAGCACTATGAGTATAAATTAGTTACTTCGCATTTAATTTCATTGCAGCTCCAGCCTAGAATAGAGATCTGTATGGATAACAGGACGAAAAATGATAAGTTGAATATGAGCTGCCCGGCAATATCACTCGAGCTAAAGTCTAGCTGAAATACGTTTAGAAAGATATTATTGGTTGAATTTGTCAAAAAATGCTTCTTGCAAATATTGTAGAATCAGACCAACAAAGATTAATTCATTTAAAAAGCTAATGTGAACTCACTGTGATTAGGTTAACAGAAACCGATGCCAAGTCAAACGAACTCAAAATAAACTCGACCAGTACAATGTATCTTGTTCGGGAATTCAAGTTTTCTACGAATCTGAAAGCAGAAACTTTGATTACTTATTACATCTTGGTTTCTAAATGCACACCAATAACTCATTTTGCCAATAAATTCTGAAAGTACAAATTCCTACCCAATAATATATTGATGATCTTGAGAAATCTCTTTCAATACGAGCAATTTGTCTCTCATATCTGAGCCAGACAATTGATCAGCTCCTATAAAGTTCTTGGACCGGATTTGGAGAATCTGTATTTGGGTCGCAGCATACACGAGCAAAGTGGCAAACATTAAATGAGTCAAACAATTATATACGAAACCAATAATGGCCAAATATGCTTGCAACGTAAATAAGAGGGGTAAGTTATCAAGCTTGTTCAGTGGCAGAATCGTTTGATACATCGCATGAGCTTCAAGAGTATCATTAAATGCTTTGTTGTGTTCTACGGTCTTCAAAATTACATGAATTCCTGAAATATGTCCAAATTTGAAATTTAAATACTTTTATTATTGAACTGCTAAATGCAGATTTAAGTATTAGTACAAATTTCGTCTATGCTGATTTTTTATAATATGAAAGTATGATATGTATGAAAAATGGGGAATACAATCCCTATATTTGGTAAAGCAATGGACATTTTTGTGAGAAATTGATGACTTTATTCTGGCATTACACTTACCACTAACGTCTAACATGCCCAAACAAAGTGAAGTGCTCACAGATAGAGCGAGCACATAAGATTTAATCAATTTTATATTTTTCCAGTATACAGTGTGAATTTCTTCGTTATCCAAATTCCATATTTCAACGTCCTTTTCTGTTATATCTTTAAAGAGCGCTAACAGATTCTCTCTGATATAAACTACCAATTTAAACATTATCTTTGATGCGTTTACAACTAATCCAAATTGAGCCAGAATTATCTCTACGTCATACCCATAAGCAACCAATCTGAACAGTTCGCCAACCATCATGCTCCACCACATAAAGCAGCCACATTTCATGAATATTGAATAGCAAAAATAAACCTTTTCACCTATGTAACTGTTAGTCAATGGTTGATTCCAAAATCCTCCACCGATCATAAATACTTTGGTCCAAGAAATCAGTTGGGCTTTTTTGGTTTTCGACGGCTTCATGATATCTTGTACGTTCTATTGGTATGAAAGTGGGCACAAAATGCTTAAATATTCCATGTGGCAGTTATTTAAATAGGTTTCTCCGGTTTATTAATACTTAAAGAATAGGAGCAATTATGCGCTAATAGCGATTTCAAGACGCTAGTTTGACATTTAATTGGTCTAAAGTTATTATTTATTTAATTTAACTCCGTTCTGAACAAGTTTGAATGTATTTTATACGAAAGCAAGTTTTATATTGCCACGGAACATCTGCACCAACAGAGTTTTTCTTCGGAAAACTCACATATTTTGTATAAGTGGCAAATTATGCCAACTAAAAATACATGTGCAGTTTAAATGACGCTCAAGATTCCAACTTTGGAAAACATTTTTTTTGTAAATTTAATGCCGCATTAATGCACATAAACAGAGTAATTCCGGAGGAAACGAAAATATTTTTAGAAAATGTCCAGGAAGTTAAAATACTTAAACTCATATGGATAAGTCCTATTTCACAAATATATTAAGGAATAATAATTTCAAAGCTAGCAAGAAACTTACTACAAACCCATCAATCCAAACCAAAATTTAATCAACTTCACTTTGATAACTTTTTCTCATTTACCCGTTTGAAACAGAAGTGTCTTAAAAACGTTAATATTTTTAAAATGTCTCATAAATTTACTAATAATTAACTAATCTGCGGTGTCTTAACTATGTGTAAACATTTTTCATTTTTGTTAAAAATCATTAATAAAAATGATGTCTAATTTAGGTAGTAATAAACAATTAGTTGAGTCTAATTATTTCCTACATTTGAATCGATCCTTAAAAGATCGTTCTTATCATGTTTTGAATGAGAACCATAAAATCATATATAACCGAAAATACTAAACATTATCAAGGAAAGAAATACGATGCGGAACATATTAATACTAAATGAATGATAAATAAAATAAATGAAACTACTAAAGTAGCTTTTGAACTTCTCGAAAATACTTTTGAGAGATTTCATTATCCTAAACTTACAAAAGAAAACATGATGAAAATATTAATTTTTCAGTCTGAATTGTGTCTGTCGATAATATAGAATTGGAATTTTTTTATAATACTTTTAAAAGGCAACTTACCGAGTAATATATTGATGGGGCTCGACAAAATTTCTCAATTGCTGTTGTAAATTTTGAATCTGAGGTGCACAATAGAGTATTAACGCTTTCAGAACTAATGCAAATTTATTATCATCAAAGCCAGCCACTTTAATGTTGCATGTGTTGATTTTGAGCGTTACACGTACACCTGATAATAAAGTTTTGCAAATTACGTTTGTTTTATTAGTACCTATTAATGCTAAGCGATAAACTTTCATAAAGAGGTTTAAGACAATACATACCGTCTGCATCGAGAAACCCAGCACAAAATACTGTGACAAAAATTGTGTCCAATACATGCACTTTGCAGGTGATTTCCATCCAGTACAGGATGGTAGACAGTTTTTTTTCAGCTGAGGGTGCAGCATCCTCTTCATATATTACATCTTTCAAAAAAGTTGTCAATGTTCTCTTCCTGCTGACAGGCAGCTTTTGCATTATCTGAGATGGCTTTACGGTGCCAAAATAGTAATCGGATTTATTAACGCATAGCCATACCAGCTTGCAGAATAGCAGAAACCACCAAACCGCAATTTCCATTTCAAAAGGATTATATACATTTTTTAAGAAACTGTTGCGGGTAATTAATTGGCCAAAAGTATCACTTAAATATGTTAACCAACAATTTTCGTTCAGCGAATTGTTTGATAAAGTCATGTTGCGTGGAATTTGGTAAAATGGATCTAATCGTTTCGGTGCGAAAATATATACACTTTCCACCTTCATTAATAAATGAGCAAAATTAAAAATTTTATGAGTTGCAAAACACTGGCCGCAATTTATTCTGATATGGAAATAATTATTTTACAGGGAGTACAACGTGGTATTGCAAATTTTTGCAGAATGTGAATATGCAGAATTTTTTTTCAGTAGTATAGAAAAAGAAAAGTGGTGACCGACAAAATAAATTTTGAACAACAGGAATTCTGAAGCAATTTTTGTTTCGTTTATTTGCAATTTATAATTTATACCCTATGTGTGTATCTACACGTTATAAAATATTAATAAAAATTAAAATTTGGAATGAGAGAAACAATATGTTTTATAATAAATAGCCGAATTTATGATAATTACTGGAGGAGCAAAAAGTTAAGAGCTCTCAAACCATCTTCTAAGCTGATGCGTGTTCAAATTTTATAACAGTATACTTAAAAAATCATAACAAAATTAAATGCGTGGAGTTTTTCTGGATCACTGTGTATTCCATTTCAATTTACTTGGATAGCATTTCTTTCAAAAGTAATTACGTTTCTTTTTTCAATTTAATATTCAGTTTTCTTCGAATCCCAACTACGGAAAAAAGAAACCATCCAACGACAAGAAAATTGCTTAATTGCATACAACTGTTAATAATTGAGAAAGGTTATTTAGCTTTGCCATTTATTTTTGCCATATTTTCTTTCCCGCAACATTTTTTTAGCCCCAATCTTTTATATTCAGTTTAGCGTCTGCTAGATATCGAGACAAGTGTGTTCGTTATTTTCTGCCCCTAGTATAAGACATATGAAGAAGTTAGTTTTAAAGTGACAATTTTTTTAAATCGCTGGTCAATTTTATGATCCAAAAAACGCGCTAGAAGCCAATTAAAAGGTAATGTAATGCTAAGAATTTTGATTTTATTAACAGCATTTAACAAGAGTTAGAATTGTATTACAAAATTTTACAGTAAACTAGCCAATATATTTGAACATCAACAAGCACATTAAGACAATAGTTAATTATAATTCTTTGAATAGAAAACACCGTAAATATATGTTGTTTAATTAAGCATAAGTTATGTAAGAGGCAAACTTTAGCGTTTAATAACGAAGGTAATATGGACATTTTTACCGACACTTTTAAAATTTAATATACAAAATATGATACTAATATGAACATTTGGGGTTGAAAAACCTATAGTTTGCTGTGAATTGATAAACTGTAACAGGACCTGTGAGTAAAACTAAGAAATAGAATGCACAAATTTATTATTTTTCTACAATAGTTCATTTTTAAATGGAACAAACGAGCGTGAAACATGCGAGTATATTTTAAACAGTCAGTTACATATTTGTATTCTATCCCCGCATCATAATGTTAATGTATGAATATGCCGCTTTCAGTACCTACAAACAGGAATGTTATTAGAAAAATACCGAAATATTTAATAATCACTTATAGATATGGTCATAACAATGCTTAGCAACTATTTTTCAGACATTAATACATTTGTGTAGGATTAATCTTTATAAAGTCGCCATACTTAATTAGATTAATGCCCAAATTTAATTCGATTGACCCAAAAAATGCATGAAAAAATATTTTCGAACTGTTTTCTGTCTGTTGTCGTCACTTCTAAATTGAAGAAACATTTTGTAATTTCTTGAAAACAACAGCAATATAGGAAAAAAATTGACATTGAATTAAAAAGAAATAAGACAATAAGCAAACAGCTAGGCGAAAAGCAAAAAGTGAGGCAACATGTTGTCTCCCATAGCTGAGGACAGCTAGAAAACGAAAAAAAAAACAGTGGAATGAAGAAGAATTTTGCGTTTTTTGAAAATACGCGAGATTCTCAGAAATACGATCGTCTGTAAAAGACCACCAGAAAGTCACATTGAAATTTTTGAAAGCTAATTGAAAAGCACTGAACGAATTAAAACAATGCTTAATTGAACTTGTGCAAACTGATGAAGGCTGCATTAAATATTAAATTTTTAATTTAAAATCAAATCCTGGGTTCTTCAGTCATTTATTGTTTATTTATCAATTAAAAAAACGTTTCGGTGTTTTCCACCATCATCAGTTTCACTAAAATAACAGGTAGTAAAAAAAAATATATAAATTATTTCATTAATCTAAAAAACAATCACAGTTTGTCAACAGCTTGTTATATCACACACTAAAATACATTACAATTGTAACACTTTAAAATATTCTGAGATTAAMTGGGCCTAYCAGGTGATCAGTTAGGACAATCAATTCTGGGAAGAGACTAGAATTCTTTGTTCAAATATTCAATTATTTTTACTTACATGTGTAGCGTTGTTGCTACTTTACGCCTT